AGATGCCCTACTTTGAGCAACATCATCAGTTGGTTCTTGTTTATTGCTTACTCCACTTCTTTGAAAAGTGTTGATGTTCTTTGCTTGCCTTCTTGGGGGTCTCCTTCTGTACTCAGGATCATCATACAAAGAGAATTATTTTTTACGTTAACTGGTCATTGTGGTAAATGGTCACATACAAACTAGGGAGTAATTCATCATACTTCTTATCAAATTAGTTTTATATCCAAAATGTAACTGAGCATAAAGTAAGGAAAAAGAACAAAAAAAGCTTTAATGTTACAGGCATCAGAGTTAGCACTCCTCAAGCCAATGATGATCATGAAAGATTGGTTCATATCTAGATAAGAATACATTAGACTCAAGACATTTTCACTTTGTTTAAGAACTGTGACATGGATCATGATGAACCAACGCTTTAAGACCATCATTAACTGCATGCACTATATCTTGAATATATATGGTTCAAAGTGTAATATACAATCGTGTATGTGCAGACATGTATAACTCGTTAATGTTTATTTCATAAGCAATACCTTTTCTGGTAAATCAAGGATTCGATAACAACTCAATGAAGTCTGATCTTGAACCAAAAATTTCTCTTTGAACTTTCTTCCATTCATGTTGTAGGTGTTGAATCTCTTATTTGGCCTCCCCTCCATGTGTAGAAAGTCTCGTTTAAATTAAGCTCTCCGACGACAATAGTATACGCAAGATATGTATTTGTGCTTCTGGTCTAAGAAGCTATGGATATGAGATGGAGGAGAAGACTATAATGAAAGTGGGAAAAAGCTTGAGAATTCTGCAGTGGTTGAAATGCATATATGTAGGAATGAAACCAATTCTGGAACCTCCAAGTGCCAAAATCTAAACAGTGATGTCAAAATCACTACCCTATCAAAAGTGAATCCAACCATATCTACTCAAGATTTTGAGGTTAGATCTCGTTGGCCCCTTCTTGACAAGAAATTATAAAATGATATGGTATTACCACGTTAGCTTGTGATACTCCCTTTCAAAATTTTGACATATCTAAGTTTTTACGAGCTGAATTTAACCCTTATTTTTATCTTAAAATTTGGAAAACTTGAAAGAAAGAAAAAAAGCCAAGCAATCACCTCCCTAAACGACAATGCCCCAGCCCAATTGCCTGCCATGGAAATCTATCAGAAGATTTTAGACTTCTTGACCTTCGAAACTGTATGTTCTTGGCCTTGCAAGACCATAAAGGGTTTAGTAAATCCCTTAAAACATAAACTCACCTCCTTCTAGATCCTCAATATATTTCGTTGAACCCTAGATTGAGAGAGAGGCCAATGTGTAATTATTAGGTCTGTTAGATTGGGAATAAACAAAGATGAGCGACATCGATGGCAGACAGTGAGGGTGGAGGGCATTGTCGGCTAGGAAGGTGGTTGTTAATTAGGGTTGCTCCTTTTTCCTTTTCTTTTTCCGGTTCTTTTATGTTTTAAGGTGAAAATGTAATAATAAAGTTTTAAATCCAGCTGTATAAAGAGTTTGATTTTTTTATAATAATATAACTGTTGATGGCAAGTTTTGGATGGGAGTATCACGAGGTGACGTGGTGATACCATAATATTTTATAATTTCTCCGTTTTAACACGAGCAAGAACCACTTTCCTTATGTTTCTTCAACACACATGTAAACTAACACAAACGAAGTGTATGAGAAGCTGTAAGTATGATAAAAATAATCGGATTAGTGAAAGTCGCACAACTAACGAGGGGGGGACTGTACTTATTTACACAGTCCATGTATTCAACTTCGATACTTAATGATATCGCTTTTGATATATTGTTCATGCATCTTGGTTTTTACCTAACTTATAGAATCTAATTGGTTGCCATCTACATTGAAATTTATATGAAAAGTATTGGGTAAAAAGGAAAAGAGTTAGTTGTTCCTACCACAAATCTCTTGGACCCCTGTAGTCCAAGAGGACCCCTGTAGTCCAAGATATCGGAACTGTTACTATTTATATGAATCTTATATGGAAAGTGTATTAGTAAAATGAGAAAAGATAGAATGACATTGTGTTTTATAAAATGTTTGTGCATCTTGATTACATACCATTTATAGTCATGTTTATATGGGAATTATTTGGTAAAAGGGAAAATAATCAGTTGTAGAATATAAGTTGGTTAACATTTATATTTAATTTCTATTTATGCGTCATCTTGGTTTTGCCCTAATATAGTGAATTTTATACAGAAAATATTACCGGGAAAATAATTTGGTGTACCTACCACTCACCATTTAAATGTAAAATTATAAGGAAAGTATTAGGTAAATTAGAAACCATAGAATCACTTCGTCTTTTTTTTAGGATCTTTTCTATTAAAAAGGGCGATAATATCCTAACTCACACACACCTAAAAACCTATTATGGCGTTCAATATTGGGTAATGACATTGCTTTTGATTTAGTTTTTCCCTAGAATCTAAATTTGTTACCGTTTACATCGAAATTTATATGGAAAGCACTGGGTAAAAGGAAAAAGGGTTGGTTGTTCCTACCATTTACTATTTATATGAAAATATTGTATGGAGAGTATTGGTAAATTGGAAAGGATAGAATGACTGCCTCAATGACATTGTGTTTTATGAAATGTTCATGCATCTTGATTTCTTTCGTAGCTTGCATACCATTTATAGTGAATTTTATTGAATTTGCCAATTGGGTCTACTCTTGTGAAAAAGGGTCTTGACTTGCAGGCTAGTAGTATCATATTCGAATCTCCATGTCACCTTGGCAGTATGTGTGTGAGAAAATCATCCTCCTCTTTCTAACTTTGGCAACCACAAAAAAATTTATATTGAATTTCTTTTTGAAGTGAAACATTTCTATGGAAAGTATTGGTAAGAAAAGATAGAATGACAAATTATCACCTTCAATATTGTGCCTTAAATGACATTGCAGTTTATGAGATACTCGTGCATCCTTGTTATGCCCTAACCTGGAGAGTTAAACTAGGTACCATTTATAGTGAATGGATAAAACGGAAAATAATTTGGCATACCTACTGCTCACCATTTCTATGGAATTCTATAATAATTTGGCTCTCTCCTAAACTTTCCTAACCTTTCAATCGTGGCTATTCATTTCAAACAGAGATAGAAAGGGGGAGTTACCCAGATTGAGATTATTCAAGGAGCAATATGGACGATTGATGCGTCGTATGATGAATAATTACTATAGTTTGAACAAAAATACATTTATAACGTGTAGCATTTATAGTGAATTTTGTTTGGAAAATAGTTGATAAGGAATAAATTTTGTAGTGCTCAATCGTCATTAGGCCCACGATCCATGATTTTTTTGGTCATGTAGGGCATGTTGGGTGAAGGGTTTAAAACCAAAGCCCGGCTCATGCATTGGCCCGTTTAGCTAGATGTGACTAGACTAGTCAAGTCCACTCAAACCCAGAAGCCTAAGAAGACTTGAGCAAAATTCCATAGCGAGAGTGTCATATACGTACCATTTATACAGATATTCGTATTAGCCACATGATGATTTCATTACATTTAATGAAGAATTATTCAGATGAATCTTATAGTTAATATAAAAGTCCATGTCTATGGTTGATATATGTCACCTCACATACAACGATCCAAACCAATTGTTTTTGGTTTTCTTGTTCGCTTTTTTTGGTCGAAACACACTTTCATAGAAAGGGAAAGGACAAACCAAACACAGCAGCCAAACAAACGACCCAAAGAACAACAGCAAAGCAAAACCACAACAGGAGCAGAAGCTACTAACTCACGAAAAACTACTAAACAAAGCAGTACCAGGCCAAACCAGCCAACCCAGAAAAAGAGACACTAAGTTCCAGCTAGGACAAACCAAAAAAACCAACCAATTGTTTTTGGTTTTCTTGTTCTTGGGCTTGAATTGGCGGGAAGTAGGCACGACCACCGTCACCTCCGGGCCCACCACGCCCGAGAGAGAGAGAGAGAGAGAGAGAGAGAGAGAGAGAGAGAGAGAGAGTTGACTCATCAGCTGAAATTAACTACTCAAATTGAATGCTCTCAACGAAATTAACCATTCGCTTACCTTTGTACTTATACTTCACATTATTTGCTTTTCAAATTATGAAAACCTCTTCAATTCTTCAGAATCATTCAAGGTTCAAACTCTTAAATTCAAGCAATACCCATTCAGAATTACACTCTCTTTCCTTCTTAACCCATTTCACGTATACAATAAGCGAATGGTTGGTTTTATGTGTAACATAGCTGAAGAAAAAGAAGAATTTGAAGAACAAGCAGGTGGGAAGAGAGATAATGGAGATTCTTGGGCACGCTCGGCTGTTCATGCCCAACACAGGCGCTCTAAGAGGTGCGGTTTTTCAATACTCAAATCAATGTTGTTATTATTATTGTTTAAGTGCATCTTTTGTTTTTCTATGAGGTGGATATTTGCATTTCTATCTCCTTCATTTCATGGTTGGTTATGGATTTTTGTATGTTGTATTATGATATGATGATATAATCTGTTAGGTTAGTATCTACTTTTTTGGCTTTAAAGTTTCTAGTTGAGTTTTTTTTCTTTTACTAAATCCTATTGTTTCTGTAATTTTATTGCAAGGAAATGTATTTTCTTTACATGCTGCATCAGGGAAAGAAAATTCCACTCCAAGGGGTTTGACTGTTTGAGTTCTTTAGGCATCCTTAATTTGTTTTTCAAGTTTTTATTTGTGTTTTGTGATTTAGAACAGTGTGATCATAGATGTGTGTTTAATAGGAAGAAAACAATTTGTGAGTAGTGACCATCAAAAGACTTGGGTGAGTGTTTTGCAGTGATTGAGTCAAAGAGATTGATTATTTTCTCTCCTCATACATGTTGGAATCTTCATGTTTCGGTCTGTTTCGGTTTCATTTTTGAAATTTATGTGGTTCTTCGTTTTCCTTCCAGTGCCTCTGACAGGAACTTAAATGTTCCAAGAAGTCGAGTTTCTGCGAAGGACCAAAATGAAATGCAGGTGAGACCACTTAACCAGTTGAAGAAATAATAATTGTCTCCTGCTATATTGGTATGGTTTCTCCCATATTGGTATGGTTTCTCCCATATTGGTATGTTAAAACTTGAAAATGTACAAATTCATAGGTGACTGCAGATTGAATCTTATTTCTAATCATGGATTTAAACAAAGATGCTTACTGTTTTCTTCATGAATTTAACAGGTTTCATCACCTTCAACAAGTGCGTCTAGGGGGCAAAGTCCTTGGCATGACAATCCTGTTTATATTAACAAGAATACGCCATCAAACCACAGAGCCTCTTTGGAAAAAGATGTAAGAAATGGAATTCAATCTGTCTCTTTTGAAATTGTGTTTTGATAAATCTTTCTTTAGCATGAGGTGTGGCTGAGATTAATATGATTGTAGTATGCTTTTCACAGTTAACTTATCTTTTATTAGAAATTTGTTGCGAGCATTGGGTAGTTATAGACTAGATATTCCAAACATTTCAAGTTATACAGCTTCCGTCCTTTTCTCTTTCTTTCTGGTGGTAGGGGAGTCTAGGGAAGATTGACTTAAGGAAAAATGTGCAAGGTTCCTCCAAAGTTCCTACGTATAGAACATGTGTATGAATCTGAATCCACTATTATTTTACTTTTTTGGGTTTCCAAACTATAGGCACGCCATGTCTACAAAAGTGGATGGAATGCATGACTTGGTCAGGGGTGCCAAATCTCTAACCATTATACCTGTTGGTTTTCCATGTAATTTATGACGCGAGCATAATATGGCTTACCCAAAACTGTATACACTTTTGCAGATCAAACAGCTGCAGTTGCGTTTGCAGCAAGAGAAATCTATGCACAATATGCTCGAGAGGGCAATGGGCCGAGCATCAAGTACTCTATCACCTGGACATTGGCATTTCTCTGTCCAGGTAGTTACTAACCTTTTCTTACTCTACTTTAAAGAGCTGTTGCAGAATTATCCAGTAGTTTACGTATTAACTTAGGCATCAATGTCGTACCTTCATGTTTCAGCTGATATAGTGTGGAAATGATGATAACATGCAACATTTAACACACACTTCGTCAACGATATGTAAAGAACTGCATTGAATACAGTATGAATTATTAGCTAGCACATAAGCCTTTGGTGTATAGCTGTAAATCCTTAATCCATGTTTTTTTTTGTTTTTTTGTTTTCCATACTTCAACTTAAATACATATCTCCATGGCCCAATCAAATTACTCGTAAAGTTTGGACTGTTGAGCTAAACAGAGCAGTCTTCTACCAATGCAAATGAACCTTTTCCTGTGGTTGCACCTGAACCCTTTTCATCAATTATTTAATTGCCTTCTTTTTTCTGAGTGCCTAAAACTGTATTATGTTAGCAAATTCCAATTTCACTGTGTAGAATATGAATTGTCAACTGTACTCTGAAACATACATTCATATATATGTGTGTGTGTGTGTGTGTGTGTGTGTGTGTGTGTGTGTGCTTGTGTGTGTGCCTGTATATATACATATGATTCTTTTTTTCTTTTTTCCAATTTGCTATATCTACTTATTGATATCACTTTCCACTTATTAGCGGCGATACTTTGAATATGGAATTAGGGACTGCAAATTGTTTTATTTCTTTTTTGTTTAGAAAAAGGAATTGATGTCTGAAATTGAATTACTTGAAGAAGTTGCAAACCGCAAGCAGCATGTTCTCTCTCTCCATAGGAGTATTTTTTAGCATTGCATTAGCAGGCCACCTTCTGAGCAGAACTCAGGTGTGGCTTCCCCTGCCCATATGAAGAATGGATCCAGGAAACATCCTAGCAAGTTATCTGAGGAAATGGTCAGATGCATGGCTGTTGTTTATTGTTGGCTTTGCAATGCAGCATCTGTGAACATCGGAAAAAATAAATCACCTTTGTTGTCAAGGTCATCAACTAATGTTATCAACCTTGACATGGTGCTGGAGATGCCCCAGACTGGTCTGGTAAATCAATGGTAGAAATAACTTGGATATCTACTAATAAGGGCAAGCTTCCTCATGCTTCTTTTGTCATCAATAACTACAGGTTGGCTTTTTACATTTAATCTAATCACCCAAAAAATTAACTCTACAATAGTAGAAGTAAAAGAAGGGTATGTCCTTTGCCTTGAGTCACTGTGAATTTAACTGGAACAAGTTTGATTTCAATTATATAGACCCTGTGTGTGTCAACTGCACTAAATTCAGGTTGTTGGTAAGAAAAGGTTAAGGGCACACCACTGATTAGCATGGCCAATAAAAACCTCTATTTTTTGTCTTTAGAGATCGCCCCTGCTGATGCTTATCTAAATTATAACCTTTTTGTTTCTATTTAATCTGCGCAATAACATTCTAATATCCAATATGGTGATGGAGCACAATAATGCCCAACGCATAAATCTTAGAGCTATATGATTAAACAACAAATCCATAATTTTTGGATCCTAATATGGTTGACGGGGTGATGACTTGTACACTTATTAATTTTCTGTATGTGGGGCACATAGTTTAAGATACACATAAATGCAGCTAACACACTTGCAGTGGATCTCCTCTTATGTTTTATGTCATCAGGAGTGCTGACTAGAGATATACTTCATATTTCAATTTCAGAATCTTGGTTAAACAACTGGAGAGGGTGAATGTCACTCTGATGGAATTGCATGCCCAAATTGCATTTTTGATCAACACGAACAATGCTCTTGTTGTGCATGTAAAAGTCTCTTGACCAACCATTGGTTTTCTCTCATTGATTTGTAAGTCTCTCTAAATTTTATCCTTACCCTTGTGCAGGCATATTTAGCTATGGAATTCCCCACAGCTCTCTAAGAAAGCTTGCCTTGTTCCACAAGGTAATTCACTTATTTGCTAGTACAATGGGTTTTGCTGGCAGCTTAAGAATACTTGTGCATCTCATTACAAATGAATGCTTTCTCTTGAAGTCCTGTCCACCAAGCGTCGTTTCGGTATCTTTTTTCTTTCTGAAAGGTGGATTAATACATTCATTGGTTCATCCCATTTTAAAATTAAAAGTTAGTTGGCTTGATCTTTGTTTCCTTCTTTTATATTCAAGTCTATTGCTCTTGCCTTTCAAGACATGGACTAGAAGATCCCCATTAAAGACAATCAGAATATTATCTTACGCTTTTTGGCCATTAAGTAAAATGCTCAAATACCTTTTCATTTTCTATTGTCAATGTTTGAGAAGTTATCTAGATATTTGGTTTTCATGCCCCAAAAAAATGGTTGAATCTAAAATAAGTGGAGCAAGAAAACAGAACCAATTCTTTGGTTTATCTGTGTATTCTAAATTTGGAAAGAAAAAGAAAAAAGATGATGAGCTTTTTGGTATAATGCAGGCTGCTTACAATATTGGGGGCCAAGTAATCAGTGCGAATGCCATAAAGCAATCCATATTTGGCTTCCAAACACCCTGAATTGGACGGGTACTCACTACTCACCATACTCTCTCTGATAATGCAACAGGAATGCTGACATCCATTGAATTATTTCGTTTATTTCATAATTTAAATGGTGTGGCAAATCATTTGAGGTCTTCTTATGAATGACAACATGAACAGTGGATTTTCGTTTCTTTTTTGCTATCTTTAATATGAATAAGAAATACCATGTTTTAGAATACTCATTTGATCTACTTTTGTGTTTCCAGTGGCTTGAAACCCTCCTTTCAACTGCCTGGAGGAAAAAATTTGGTGAAGACAGGCAACTTCGCAATTCCAAGTTCGGTCTTCCAGTTTCTGAACCCTTGTTTGCTTTGCTCTTTGTACTGGAGCCTTTTCTGATCCTGCAGTAACCACTTTGCTTTTATTGGTCCTGTTTTCACATTATATTGAAGATTTAATATATAATTGTCTAATGAATGTTAGGTTCTTATTTTCAGTCTTTTTCCCTAATGCAACACATGTTTATTGGTCAATTACAGTGCTTTGGCACATGATTTTCCCTTGAAATTTCTGTTCATAACTTATCTTTTTCTGCCTTATCTCAGTGTTTAAAGAAATCTGGTACTGCTGCAGAAAACTACTTAAAAAACAGAATAATTTTTTTTTATAATCAAAAGCATATGGTAGCAACTTTTACTACTGAATTGTTTTGATTGTAAATCGTTCTTCTAAAAACACACTCTGATCAGTGATATACTGCTACCACTATATTGCTAACGGCATTAACGTTTGCTTGTCAATTACTTGTAGCTAAAAGTATACACAGCCTCAAATGTTAGAGATGAACTTGAAGAGGCAAAGGAGTTTATTAAAGCAAATGTAGTGGTAAAGAAGTCGAGGAAAGTTTTTCTGCCAAAGATACTTGAAAGGTTTGCAAGAGAAGTGTCTTTTGGCCCCGAGGATCTTCTCAAATGGGTCACTGAGAATGCTGATAAGAAGCTTAATGATTCAATACATAAATGCTAATTTCAATCTAACAAGCTTACCATTACTTGCAGCTGTTGTATAATTCAAGTTTCGCACCTTATTTGTTCATTAATAAGGTTGCTTGGTTTATGCAGTAAACCGTAACTGTTTGTCATTTCAACTTTGTCCATGCTTCTAAAATCTAATTGCAGCACTGTATACAGTCGCTTAGACAATTCTCACACCAACAAAAAGTAGAATTGAAGAACTGAATTGGAACAATAAATCCGATTACATGAAATGAAATTAAGAATTTAATTGGAAGAACAATGAAATGAATCAGATAAAATACATGAAAATTTCTATGTGGAAACCCTAAACTCCACGTCGTCATCATCATCGGCTAGGACTAGGACTAGGACTAGGCAGGCAAGGAGAACCGACACAGAGGGCAGAAGTGGCTTTTCTCCAACCACTCCACGATGCAAGCCTCGTGGTAAATATGCGAACATGGCAGACCACGACCTTCCGAACCCACCGCAATCTCCGCTATACAAACCGAACAACAAACCCCAGCCGTTTCCACTCTCACCCTCTCCAGTTTCTCAATTGCCGATTTACTCGCCGGTACAAACGCGGGCTGCACTTCATCATCCGCCGCCACGTCCTCAACGATCGCATCAATCTTGATGCACGCCTCCATATGCACACGTAACCCCCGGCTGCCGCTGCTACACACTCTCCCAACAAGACTCCGTGAGGCATCATGGACTATAGTAGCAGCGACGCACCGAAGGTCCTGGGACGGGACGTGTATAGACTTGGATAGCTCGTTGGATATGGTAGCCAAAATCGATGACGTGGATCTGTCGTCCATTAGTAGGTCAATCTCGAGTTTGTCGTGGTAATCGAAGCTCTCGGTGGGTTGGCCCATGTGATCGTCTTCTAACATCATTACTTTGTAATGGTCTTCCAAATCCTCATCGTCCTCTAAATTTGAGGGCAACACAATTTGTGTGACAGTGGCATTGATGTCTAGCCACAATTGAGATTTCATGGCGGTTTCGGGTAATTCGGAGACTTCGAGGATACGCGTGGCGTAATAGGGATCGCCCAACATCTCCCAATACTCATCGGTCATAACAACAAGAAGAGCAGCAAACTCTAAGAAAAATGGAACAAGGAAGAATGCGGGTTGAAAGGAGACGGTGAGACTTAAAGTGAGGCGTTGAGAGTAGAAATGAGAAATGCACGGCTAGCTATTAGTATATATATACACACTAGTTTCCTAGTAAGATTAGGATTTTAGGGTTGTTGCTTGGCAATCAAGTCACGCGGGTTCTACTTTTCTAATTAATTATTATTATTATTTTTTTTTCTGTTAGTTTTTATTTAAACTGAAACTCAGGATTCCTTTTTTAAAATTTGTTGGAATTTAAACTCAGGATTCATATATGTATTTTCATATTCAGTTATGATTTTGTACAGCCGTTCCCGCATATCCCTCCATCTTACTTTAAGCGTTTTAAATATGAGTGATTGTTGTTCAATGATCTTACCCCAGGAAGAGCAACACGATTTGGGCTCTAAAAGGGTAGATAAAGTTTCATTTAGAGCTCCGATGAAATCTAAAATGGTATCCCAATGATTGAGCCTCTAAAA